ACCTGGTGGACAACATAAAAAGCCATTACTAAGGGTTAACTCCCTGTTGAGTTGGGGGCTATGATGGGACCACACTTCTTTGGGGGTTGAAGAAAGAGACAGGAAGCACAAGCAACTCACCATGAGACCTTGCTGGTATCTCGCACCCCCTAAGAGTCCAGCCCCACCCCCACCGCCGGTCCTGCCACCACCTTACCTTGTAGGAGAACTGCGCTGAGCAAGGCCAAGAGTGTAAGTCCCAAACCAGAACCAATGATTATCAGCAGGTTGGTGTCAGTCTGCTGGGTGAGTTGAGACATAGAGAAAAGAATTGGTCTACTCACTGCTGAATGTCACCATCCCAGGGATGCCCCCAGGCCAGTTGCACCTTCCTGTGGCCAGACAACCCATCACATTTTGCCAAGCACATCTAAAATCAAACTGATGCCAACCTTGTAGAGCATATATTTTTAAAAGTGTTTCTAAGCACCTAAGATACTTTACTCATATCTCAAAATGTTCCTCAATCTTGGCTATCAGATGTACAGTGTTTGTGAAACTCAAAGGTCTGAGGAGAAAAGTAACTGCTGTGAGCTGAGTTTTCCTGTCAAATCTTTCCTGGTCACTGCCTAAGTCCTCTGAACTCTTCCCAATCCTGGTTGCCTTAGGCTTCTCAGTAAGCCTTGGAGTGGCAGTTCCCAGAGGCCGTGTGGTATGTGGTGTCATTCTACACTCTCTCTACTACCTCAGGGTGTAGACAGGAGACACCCTCTGTTACCCAGGAGGCCAGGCAGCAATAGGATCTGCAAAATGTAAAACAATGCCATTTTCCCCACTAATTATTTCCTTCAGAAAAATACAGTTGTCATGTCATTTAGGTTAATGTGTCAGGGGTTTGTTTGGCTTGGCTTTCAATGGATTACCATTTTTCAGTTTTAATACGAATTTCTCAGGCTTAATGTTTAGGAGTCCAGAGGGACCCTGACATGAAGAAGTGTGGGAAGGGCAGCCAGAGCCAGGCAGCGGGTGGGGCCTCCACCTCCATCTCCCTCAGGGCTGCCTCCCTCTTGGGCCCTTTCACCAGAAGCCTGGAAAAGAGGGGCCGGCAGCGAGAATAGGCTGCTGATTGTCTCTAAGAGAAGCTTTCCCTCCATAGACATTTGTACTGCCTGCAGTTTTTCCTGAAAGTGACTTTAATCACTTTTAGAATAATAAAATAAAGGATGCTTGGGGACAAAGAGAGACATTGTGGCAGGTGCTGGTTGTGCAATATGTCAGTACCCTAAGCTGCACAGGAGAAGCATGCGATGGTTTTCTGGGTTTTATTTTTTTTCTTTCCCAAGCCTCCAAAGATATAGAAATCATCAATATTCTTTCTGCCAAGACTGTGAGGCTACATATCCTTAGCCTATTTTGTAAGAACTATGATGCATTTTGCATTTGGCAACGTTCTTCTCTGAATGGCCCATCTACACGAACTCCTGCTGTGAATATTTAAAAATCTAAGTCAAGGGCAAGCCTAATAGCTCAGCAGACTAAAGCGCCTGCTTAGGCAGAGCACAGCAGCTGGGGTTTGATCCCCGGTGAGCTCTGCTGGCCCTTCCCCTGGGGCATGCTGAGAAGGCAATTGAGACTGGGTGTGGTGGCGTGCACCTGTAATCCCAGAGCTTGGGAGGCTGAACCCAGGAGGATCACTATGAATCCAATCTGTGCAGTGAGACCCTGTAGACACTGCAGACCCTGTAGACCCTGCAGACCCTACAGACCCTCTAGACCCTGTAGACCCTGTCCTAAGTACAGAAGAAAAGAAAAGAAAAATCTAAGTCATGTACTTCAAGCATTTCACAGAGGTTTTACCTTTGTCTCTGCCTCTGTCTCTGCCTCTTGCTGTGGTTCTTGTTCCATAGACACTGAGAAGGAAAAGGGGAAAAAGTGGTTATATTTCTTGTAGGAAAGCAAAAAAAGCCAGCTCCTCAAAATAGGCATTTCAAGGCCATCTGGAATCTCAGCCAGTGTGTTTAACAGCAACTTTTCCATTTTGTATAACTTATCCTGCATTTTTGTTTGATGTGGTTCTAATCAAAGTTCATCTGCTCACCAACATACTTCCACGGGAACATCTCCATTACGTAGACAAATGGAGCGAGGCCTCTCACCAGTGTGCAGTTAGTTTTCAGGTGTCCATAGGTCCCAGGGATGCACTCAGAATTTTTACCCCGCAAGAAAATGTGTCAGCCTTTCAGTGGACAGATACCTACTGAGCCCTTACAAATAAGATACAGTGTAAGAGTTATTGAGTACACTGTGCTAGCTATACCTTGGACCTTGCAGAATTTACAACTAAGTGCAGAAAATAAAGCTTCATACCACAGCAATATATGTGAGCCCATGTTTATGGCAACATCATTTGTCATAGCTACATCTTGGAAACAACCCAAATGCCCATCAACTGAGGAAAGGATAAAAAGATGTCATATTCTTATACAATGGAGTATTACTCAGCTATAAAAAAGATAAATTTGAGGATTTTATAGGTAAATGGATGCAACTACAGTCCATACTCATAAGTGAAATAAATCAGACCTGTATATGCAAATATTGTACTGCATACACTCCCTAGTGTAAGAACCTGAAGAGTTAATACAAAGATACAATTTTATTTATTTATTTATTCATAATTTTATTGATAAACAAATAGCAATGAGACAGTTTCAAATAAAATTGCTAGGACAGTTTCAATAATTAACACATTGCATACATTCTTCTTAGTGGTTAATTGCTGTACAAGATGCAGAC